GTGTCAAGTGGTCTTAGTGAGGAGCAGGCAAGTAATGAGATTGTACAGCAGGTTGCTATGACAACAGGAACAGAAGATTCATTCGTTGCTATGAAAGACTGTAGTGAAGTGATTGTTAGAAGTGCTCAACCTCATGAAGATCAACCCGAGTTAGAAACTGTTGTAGTGGAGATGTAAATGTTTTTACACTTATTGAATATGATTTGTTCAGCATATTGACATATAAATCTGGTACCTGGAGTGCTGTTTGTTTTTCTTTATGGGTGGTTTGCATGTAGCAAATTGGTTCTATCTCTGACAAATTGCCATTATTATATACAGTAATTTGCTTTGTATTTATTACATAAAAGTATGTTATGCTAATATATAATATATAAGCTTCATCCCAGTTGACTTTGCAATGGTTGTTTTTCCGTATCAACTATATATAATTTTATAAATATTACTGGTATATCAGTAATTTCAAACATTCACCAATGTGCATCTTGGTGTTAAGATCGAATATACAGACTTCGCTGTTTATAATTCTCCCAATCTCAACTGGACAGCACACAGCACAGTTTCTGTGATGTACCACTGGTCTCCGAATTGTCATAAAATCATAAAACTGTGATTCCCCCCCCCCCAAAAAAAAACAAACAGCAAAATCTTTTTAGCAATGGCTATAAATTTTCATTAAAGAAACAGCATTCCAATATGCAAATGAATACAGAACAGCTGAATTTATGATGACAAGCTGTGAAATGGATACATAGGATTAATAAAGGTGAGGAACATGAATCTCACATTTGCAGGATTATTTCAACTTGGTTTTCTCATGACAATGTTTACCAATCAACCAACCCCACAGTAATTCCTGCTGAATAGGGAAGCCAACAATGTTGACTTCCTGGTCTACCCAACAATTACCCTCTGTTGAATGAAAAAGCCTACAATGTTTAAACCTTATCTGACTCCAGTTACTTTCTGCTGAATGGAAGAGTTGACAATGTTACCCTTTTCTGAATAATAAAGCCACCAATGTTTAACCCCAGCCTATCCCTCCCGAATGAAAGAAACTAAGTTTTACCCCCTGGCTTACAGCAGGTGTTCCACCACCTGAATGGATCAGACTACAATGTTTGCTTCCTAGCCTACCTCAGTTACCTCCACCACCTGAATGTTCTTACATTCAGGTGGTGGAGGTAACTGAGGTTACAATGTTTGCTTCCTAGCCTACCTAGTTACCTCCACCACCTGAATGTTCTTACATTCAGGTGGTGGAGGTAACTGAGGTTACAATGTTTGATCCCTAGCCTACTTCAGTTACCAACTCCACCTGAATGGAAGAGCCTACAGTGTTTTCTCCCTAGCCTACCTCAGTTACCTTTACCTTCACCTGAATGGAAGAGCCTACAGTGTTTTCTTCCGAGCCTACCTAGGTTACCTCCACCACCTGAATGGGAGAGCCTACAATGTTTACTCCCACCACCTAAATACAATACTAGTAGCTTAAAATATGTTTGCTTCCTAGCCTACTTCAATTACCCCCCACTACCTGAATGGATTAGACTACAATGTTTGCTGCCTAGCCTAGCTTAGTTACTTTCACCTGAATGGAAGAGCCCTAGTGTTTTCTCCCTAGCCTACCTCAGTTACTTTCACCTGAATGGAAGAGCCCTAGTGTTTTCTCCCTAGCCTACCTCAGTTACCTTCACTTGAATGGAAGAGCCCTAGTGTTTTCTCCCTAGCCTACCTCAGTTACCTTCACTTGAATGGAAGAGCCCTAGTGTTTTCTCCCTAGCCTACCTCAGTTACCTTCACTTGAATGGAAGAGCCTACAATGTTTACCACCAAAGTTGCGATTTGCACTAATGAAAATGTTTTTTAAAAAATAACAAGCGACCTTGTCGTCGGTAGAGCCCTGCTGTAATTAACAAATGCAGTGGCAGTTACGAGGTGGATAGGAGAAGTGGAATCTATGACAGTTTAGTAATCGTGACAATGGTCACTGGAAAGGCATATCCCATAAAAGAAACATATTTGTGTATGAAATGCATGAATATGTATAATTGATGATGTGGGTGTACAGGAATATGAAGCTGAAAAATGAAGTTCTTTGGCATTTCTGAAAAATATTGGCCCATCCAGTTCATTTTCCAAGACAATGTGTACTGAGAGCCTAGCTTCCAACTGATACAGTTGTCTGCTGCATTATACATAGCCCATATATAATGAATGGGAAAGTGAAAACAATCCAAAATAACTAATCAAAAAAAATCATAACTTCCACAAAAATGGAGACATCTTCAAATAAATGAACTTTAGAACCAGTCCATAGACACTTGCATATGCTGCCAGGAGTCAGTGTAATCTATGCCAAATTTCAAAGTAATATAACAAGTGGTTGTGGAAAGAATCATTTTTAACCATAAATGACAATCAAAGAAAGCTTAAAAAGAACGGTGTGCTGAGAGTATTGGAGACTAGAGACAATGTAACATACCATCTATGTACCAAGTTTCATTGAAATGTGATTAGAACCAAAAAATTATAAATTAGTATGCTAATTATGGAAATAATCAGGTTTGCACATTGACCTAGAGCATTTGTGTACCAAGTTTCATTGAAATTGAATAATTAGTACTGTAGATATCAGTGTGAAAGCTTAAAATTGAATTATGCAAATTAGGTAATTAATATGTACAGATTTTAACCCCAAATTAATCAGGTCTGTCTATTGTCTTAGAGATGTGATGATTAGTATTCGAGATATCTGTAAAGTTGACATTGGTTAGTTATGCAAATTAGATAATTATTTACCCCAAAACTAAATCAGGTCTCTGCACAGTCCTACAGGATCTATGTCCCAAGTTTCATTGAAATGTGATGATTCATACTTAAAATATGCGTAAAAGCTGAAAATTAACTAATTATGCAAATTAGGTGATTATTGCACAAATATTCACCCAAAAACTGATCCAGACTCTGCATATGCTAGAGAATGTACCTAGTTTCATTGAAATGTGATGATTTGTACTGGATATTATCAGCGGAAGAACTGAAAATCAACCAATTATGCAAATTAGGTGATTAATATGCACAAATATTTACTCCAAAACAATGGATCTCTGTAGTCCTAGAGAATGCATGTTCAAAGTTTCATTGGAATGTGATGATTACTACTTGAGATATCGGTGGAAAAGCTGAAAATTGACTTATCATGCAAATTAGCTAATTAATATGCACACATTTTTAACTAAAATAATCAAATCTGCGCATCAGGTCAGAGCATCTATGTAATAAGTTTCATCAAAATCCAATGACTGGTTCTTTAGATATCGGTGGAACGACTAAAAATTAGCTAATTATCATGCAAATTAGGTAATTAATATGCATAGATTGTTACCAAACCCCGAGAAAATCTGCACATTGCCCCAGAGCATCTATGTACCAAGTTTCATCAAAATTTGATTAGTGGTTCTTGAGATAATGGTGGAACAAAAAGTTGCATACATACAGACAGGGTAGCTGCAAAGACTCCCTTTTGTGCTTCGCACACGGGAGTCAAAAATATTCCCAAAAAATAGAGGTTTACATGTGATGTCATGAAATGAACAAATCTGACAGAGGACCATCCCAGGTAGGTGTGGTAAGAATATTAAGGCAATCCAGCTGATGGTTTTGGAGAAGTCATTTGAATGGAAAAAGTTTGTGGTCAACTCGTGAGCTCTGCTCGGTCATCTTCGATGACATTTGGCCTAGTGTGATTTGCACATCCATGTTTCATGTGCATAGTGTTCATTTGGTTTGTTTCTTTCTCAGAGAAACAGCTGTTAAAATTACTTCATACATATGGGTACTAAATACACCCAAGAATGGGGTTGAACACGCATTACCTTGAACATACGAACTTTGAGAATAGCAAACATCTGCAAAGGTACTATAAATAATTCAGTTTTTTCAATGTTGTATAATATAATTAGCAAATGACAGAACATATTTATTAACCTTGGTTCAGTGTTATATACATTGTGAAAAGGTAATTGTTTCACAATCGTTGATACACTAGAACAAGTATGTGGAATGCTTGATTGAATCCAATACAAGATTTCTGGAATCAAATGTTTCACCATGTCTGCATTACAAATAGTTTAACCAGTCTGAATTCACATACAAATACTATCATAAATATAATACACTCATATATTATATTTCTCTGTACATAAAAAGACATTTTTGGCAGTAATTGTTTCACTTGCAAAACACCACAACTGAATGTAATGGTGTTGTTGCACATTTGTCAATATTACAGCAGTACTATCGTCATGCTTGTCATGTTCTCAAAATAACCTGGGATCACATTCAACCCTTTGAGTGCCAGATTTTATCCAGCCCAAACTTTAGTGAAAATATTTTTAAAAATTTTTCACTAAATTTTATCATCATTTTGAACCATACAGACAAGTTCAAATTTGTGGTCAAAAAGTTTAACAGCACTTCATGTGGAGAGCAGTAGACTGAAAAAATAATTTTCTAGATGGTGCTGAAAAGTTGACAAAGGAGCTCAAAGGGTTATACCGGTAGTACAAATTTTATTATTTAAACATAAAATTGTGAAATGTAAGGACATGTGCTGTAAATAGCATGCAATTTAGGCATTTTTGGGTTTACTATCGTACTTTTTCTATTAGAAAGGCATTTTATTAATGCATACTGATCAATCAATAATGGCTTATGCAACAAATCTGAATGATTGACAACGCATCCAACCGTACTGTTTTTTCATGAATAGTTGATGCCAGACAAATGATAAGTGTGCACAAGTTCAAAGACAAAAATATTCACCAAAATTAGAGAATTTAAGATATCAACATGACATGAGCAAACCTAAGAGAGGTCAACCCAAGGTACATATACACCAAATATCAAAGCATTCAGGCTAGTAGTTTTCAAGAAGCAGTTGAAAAAGTAAAAAATTTACACGAACGGCGGCGGACAATCACTCATATGATAAGCTCCGCTCGACAAAGTCGACAGCAGAGCTAAAAAAATGTAATTCAGGTGTTGCCATTGATAGACCTTGGTAAATTAACATCATGGAATATGTGGAAAGAGATATCAGCGTTATCCAATACAGCCCACAGTAGTGGTACTCCTTGACATTCATGTAGCAATCTACTGATGACATTCAGTGTGGGCCATGCATCTGAAGAACTGTAATGAAAGAAAAGTTATAATCTATGAGTATGAAGTGTTCAGTGGTGATTGGAGACATGATTGGCAAACTGTCATCACTAGCAGTGACGTTGAATTTTGCATCACCTTAGTACACTAATTTCAAAATGAGGTTTAACTCACCTGAGTGCACAGATTTAAACATAAGGTTTAACTCACCTGATTACACAAATTTTAAAATGAGGTTTAACTCACCTGAGTGCACAAATTTTAAAATGAGGTTTAACTCACCTAAGTGCACATATTTTAAAATGAGGTTTAACTCACCTGAGTGCACAGATTTCAAAATGAGGTTTAACTCACCTGAGTGCACAGATTTCAAAATGAGGTTTAACTCGCCTGACTAGACAGATTTCAAAATAAGGCAGCTGAGTGGACAGATTTCAAAATGAGGTTTAACTCACCTGAGTGGACAGATTTCAAAATGAGGTTTAACTCACCCGAGTGCACAGATTTCAAAATGAGGTTTAACCCACCTGAGTGCACAGATTTCAAAACATGTCATTGTTAATGACACAGTCCCCGTCCAAAATTTTGTGATCTGACATATCAATTTGATGCTGAGGAAGTCATTGAGATTAGATTGAAACCATTAATAGAAATGGATTTGTAAAAAATTATGATTTAGTGCTTTTACACGAGAATTGAACATTGGGCAGTCATATTGAATCAAACTACAACAAGTCATTGAAAATGACACAGTCCCTGTTAAGTTCTCTTTGTGCTCGTCATATTAAAGCGGAGGGGTTGTCGCGAGCGTGTTCTTAAAACTTGAGTTCCAAGTGGCGTATACAACAGATTGTTTATTTACATCAAAACACGTGTTTCGTGTCATAGTAATATGGCCAAAATAAAAACTGCCGTTATTCAGCCATCTTTGATCTGATTATGAGACACACTGATATGTATGATGTATGTGCCAAATACGAATGAAAATGGTACATAAATTGTGGAAATATAGTAATAAGCCAAAAAGTCAGATGGCTGTCAATCGGCCATCCTTGACCAGATTTTGAAACAAATTGTCATGGACATGCATCCTAACATGTATAAAGTACATGTATGTGCCAATTTGAATGAA